CGGCCAAAAAGATTGAAATTTGTGGGTTCTCCTTGCAAATCCCTGTCAAGATTTTGACCAAAACGGTGGCTAGCCAAAAATGGTTTCCGGCGAGCAGGTGAGGAGGGGAGATAGAGAGAGAGAGAGAGGGCGTTTGGGAGGTTGATGGGGGAGAGAGAAAGGAATCACGTTAAGCGAGAGAGAGAGGGGTTCAGAAACCAAGTCTTTTTTAAGTCTGTTTGGGTCAAAAAAATTAATAAAATATGATCAGAGGGATAGGAGATATAATAGTGTAAACTTCTATGTAGTAAGATAGGTTTTGCAACCTAAGGTCAATGGAGAAATGAAAGTTGAAAATGGGATCTATGGAGATATTTTCCCTTCTGCATTCCAAAATAATGCACAAGCCTTCTCATACTTTCATAAATCTCATACTGTGGGCCATACTTTCAATTCCTAGATCATATGGATCCTTTTCTCATTTAATGAATCAATAAACATGGGGCACTCCACTTTTAACTGTGGACTACATATCACACTTGCTTTATTAAAGTGACCCAGTATTTCACATGGCCCACAGTCCATAGAAGGGCTCATTATTGGGTCACTAAAGTCTGGCCGATGAGCCAAGGGGTCGTAATTTCAATTTGTGGATTACAGGTTCTCCCCTAGAGACGTTCCAAAATCACTTAGACATGATGCGATCACAACTCCTATGATGCATAGGGGTATCTCTCGCACATATATAAACTTCACCCTGAAAGGTAGTTCACGTTCCTAAAACAGCTATCATTATGTATGTCATGTGATGGTATATGGATGAGGCTTTGGCCCCCATCTCTGAAGGTCACCATCACATATAAGGGTTGCACAGTCCCTCAGCTCACTCATCTGGGCATACTTTGACTTTATCAAGGGATGACATATTAGAACCCTTATCATATAGTTTTCTATGCCTAGGTAGCATAGGTTTTTCCCAACTGATTGGCTGAGCTCATCAAACTCAGTCTGGTATCAGCCAACGTTATTTGCTTAGTATAGTCCCCGAGGGACCACACTCCCACTGAGTTCATGTTCCATTATATCAAAATATTTTATTACAAGCATTCATAAGGCCTTTAATGGCCACACTCACCTAACAATTAGACCTTTTAGAAAATTATAGTTCGAAGTCATATTATTTTAAAGAGTAATGATTCTATAGGACCCTCCCCTACCCATGTGTGTAGGACCCAATTAGACCTTTCAGAAAATTATAGTTCGAAGCCATATTATTTTAAAGAGTAATAATTCTATAGGACTCTCCCCTACCCATGTGTGTAGGACCCCAAAAGATCACCATTAAATTTGGTACATATCTCTAAAAAAATTATCACATGGGTGTGAGACTTGACTTTTTTAGAAATCCGTACCAAATTTAATGATGATCCTTTGGGGTCCTACACACATGGATAGGGGAGGATCCTATAAGATCATTTTTGACAAACTAAAAAACAAACATTTCCTCCACTTTTTCAAAATATTATAGAAAATTGAGACAACAATATATCATTTGCATAGTATTAAGGTCTTTTTCAATTTAATCCTTCACTAACGAATATGTGACAAAACCCATGAAGTTCAACAATAGCACATAGCTTTGAACAAATGAGCTTATCCAATAGACTTGTAGTATAATAGACAAACAATTTATATATCAAATGTTTTTACGAATTTATTTTGGACCTTGTACTTGTATCCCAAATTTATAAAAACACCATGATCTTTAAATAGTCATAGATTTTATTAACAACTTAATTCATCCTTCCTAAGGTCATCGCTAGTCTTATATGCTACATGTATTTATTTAAAAACAATATTTATTACTAGTGACTAATTAACTATATTATCAATTAGAAATAAAAACAATATTTATTACTAGTGACTAATTAACTATATTATCAATTAGTTATATGCATATTGAACCAAGAATTTTGAATTAACAAAATATTAGGGTGCGTTCCCATAAAAGATGATTACATTATGGACTTGAGCCCCATTCTCTCTGACATCTTACCAACATGTTCCTTTGCTAGGCCTTTTGTTAAATGATTGACCAAATTTTACTCTTGAACTCACATGTTCCGTATTTACCAGTCCATCTTCAAATAATGTTCTTATAGATATGCTAGCTTTTCCATTTTATGCATCATTACATGCTCTTGCAATCGTAGTATGATTGTCATAATGAAATGTGATTCCTTGCACCAATTTTAGCCATATTGGTATGTTGTACAAAAAATTCTTTGCCCATTTTGTTTCTTCACAAGAAGAATCTAAAGCTATAGATTTCACTTAATTGTTGAGTGCCAAATGCGTGTTTGTTTAGTTGACCCCCACGATACTGCTCCACTTACTTATGGAAGTATCCAACCCGATTTTAATAATGATTTTTGGCTTTCCATATTCCAATCTGCATACCTATCCTCCCAATACTTAAGGATAACTTAAATAGTGTATGCCGTATTTGATAATTTCTTCTAAATATTGTAATACTCAAGCGATTAATTTTCTATAGGCCCAACTGATATATCTACTAAGTTTCCTTACTGCTTATAGAATTTCAAAGGAATTTTAATAATTTTTTATTGGTTGCTCCTTGTTTTGATGTGGGGGACCGTAGATTTCATGCAAAATATTTATAAACAAAATATAAAAATATAAGGCAAATCTCTACCATCCAAAGGCCCAAAGGTTGAAGCTACGAACTGAGCTAATTTGCAACCAGTCTCATAAGCATATATGTTACCATGAGCTGTTAATTCTAAAACCGTATGATAGTTTATAATTAGCAGTATTTAGAAAATGTCTCCCATATTTTCCCCTTTCTCTCCAAATACCTTAGGCTGAAAATTACTTTTGAATCACTCAAGGTAAGGAATCAATACGGTCCAAAACTATTGTAAGGAATTAAATTAGTTTTGAACCGCTCATTGCAAGGAATAAAACTGATTCAAAACTATGAGTTAGTCCCAACCTGCTCATTTTAATGAATCATAATGGTCTAGAACTTACAGTACTGAACCACCCATTGTAAGATATCAAAGTGATCGTTATAACAAATGAAAGTGAGTCTAGTGAGCAGTTAGGAACTAATAGTTTCTAACTAAAGATATTTTGAAAAAATTAAAATACAAGCATAAAATAAAGTAGGCAGAAAATATCTTAAATACCACTAATTTCATATTAGGGTAAATATCCCTACTATATTCACGGGCATATACTCCCCTTGTTTGTACTATTCGCACAAAGAAAATAGTTCAAAGGCAAAACAAGCTCGAACTTCTGATTATGATTGCATTATGAGGGACTTAAAAATAAAAAATAAGAGAAAAATGGGTTGGTAGACAATGACTGGTGGCTTAATTTAAACATTATTTCCCGCTTGGGCTGTAAGCCGGTGGGGCCGGGCCTAGGCGGACCACTTCCCTCAGGCTAGGAAATGTAACTGTGCCCAAACCCAGCCCACATCGGCCCGTACCTTTTGAGGCCTGTTTGGCGAGCATGGCCTATTTGCACCATCATGGGGGTGGTTCCAACCTTAAACAGTCCAATTAAGGCGCACCGCCAAATTTTATGTAATTTTGGTGTAAAACATTCTTAGGATTGTCTAAAAATCTATTTTCGTATCTAATTATAAAGTTTTAAACTCAAAAAATAGTTAAAATCAAGTATATCTATAAACATACGAAAATCTTGAAAATGGACGATCTAGATATGTGTTGTAAGATGCTTTATTTTAGGACTCAAATTTATTTAATTTTTTTATATCCATATATCTCGATGTCAAGATGATCAATTGAAGGGTGCAAAGGCTGAGTCGGTAGCTGGAGAGGTAGACGAGGCAACTCCATTTTTCGTTCCAAACCTCAAGTTTTGGAAGCCCCATAGAAGCCTAGATAGCACCTGTAGTTTCAACATTAAGACAACATTTTGTAATGGATTTTTGAGATGCATCTTTAATTCTACATTTTAAGGTTGCAACTTTTTATAAACTTTTTTCTTTTATCTTTTATCAAATAAACATCTTAAAAAAAATCCATCCGTGTTTTAATGTCGTCAATTTTTAAACATTGGTTTCTTGAAGTCTTTGAATTTTTTTTTGATAAGCCTATAAAATTAAGATTAATAAAGAACATTGATTTAACAAAATAACATAAAAAAAAATTTGACTCATGTATTCGTAGAAAAATGTATTCCCCTAAAACAACCATCCTCAAAAATTCAAATCACTCAGCTAGTGGATCTTTTTAATTCATCTTGTAATCATTTTAAAAAGAAAAAACAATTCTTAGAGCACTAGATTTGATCATCTATCAAATAGATGCTCTAGAGCCATTGGATATGAAATTCAGGGGCAAAGTGTGTTATAATATTATTTTAAAAAATTTAATCTATGCTTTGTGCCCAGTCAATTACATATCTCCAAACACCTGATTTTACATCTAACCACCATTAATGATCTTGACCCCTTATATAAAAAATAACTACCTATTATATACATTTATATATAATAACCTATTATATACATTTATATATAATAAAATATATACTATTTAGGAGATAATTTAATAATCATAGGGAACCTTAATGTGATCCCTCAAAAGGATATTCCTAAAAACACAACCCATTGGTTGAGAAACTTGTTCGCCTATCACTGGTAGTTACAAGCACGGTAAAGAACACAGATATATACAATAAGAATATTTATTTTTATATAAAGAAGTTACAATCATTAGATCGTTAAAATATTGAAATTGGGTGGTTAAAGATGTGTAATTCATTGAGCATAACGCCTAAAATAAATTTTCTCGAATGTTGTGACAATTCAATCTATTAGATTTTATATCAAATGTCTAAAAATAATTGTGACCTCGTTGTACCAAATAGTAAATCGTAATATATAATCCTGTAAAAAAAATAAAAAAGTATAAATATACATAAACAAATTTTTAAAAATATAAGACTAAAAACTCAATATGCTAAATGTACAAATAGCTTTCAAGCTAAATATTCCATATTTCAAAGATGGAAAAAACCAATTTCACATAAATTTTTGATAAAAATCTCAAAATCGCCTCGAGCAGTAGGCGGAGATCTGAGGGCACCTCTCGAACAGGTCCATGTCTTGTCGCGGCAGAGTGACCCACATCTCCACCCCGCCAGTGTCCCTGGTTGGCATCAGCTTCACCACCCCCGGCATGCAAGCCCCACCTGGGCTCGCCCACACCGGTCGCCCCCACCCCAAGTCATTCCCGTAAATTGGAAACCGGTACCAGCTCGTGAGCCCGACGAATGCTGTCCCCTCGTCCCTCCACAGCTCCATCATCCTCGCCATACTCTCCACCAGACCCATCGGCCTCCCCCTCACCTTCTTCACATACTCTTTGTCCACACTGCGTATTGCTGCCCTCACCATCTCCTCGTTCCCACCACTGCCACTACGATCCTCTGCGAATGTTCCTAAGACAACATTCCCGAATGAGCCTTCGGGGAGCGGGGGCTCGAGAGCCTGACGTATGTTTATGACGTGCGCCAATCCAGAGGGTTGGCCATCCTTTGAGATGGACCGCCATATGAGAATGGAGACCGCCTCGACCGTTGTCGGGACGATTCCTAGAACCATGCATGAAGCCTTGAGTGATTTGATGGTTTGGGGCTCGAAGACGAAGACATGGGTCACCAGCGGCTCGGCCGGGTTCTGTTTTGGAGTGCAATCGCTGTCAAGGCATGTCATGTCTTGGGGTGGGAAGATGGCGTGGGAGTCGAATGTGGGGGAGGAGGAAGGAAGGTCTCCTCGGCTAATGCGGGACCATGTCAAGATGAAAGAAGCGAGAGAGGCAGCATCGACAACCTTATGAGCGGCGCAGACAGCTAGGGCAATGGCTCCACAACCGAAGTGGGTGGCCTGTACGCAAGCAACAGAATCGGAGCGTACAGAGAAAGGATGGCATGGGAGGAGAGAGACAAGGTCTTCGAGGGGGGATTCCGCTATAAGTCCGAGAAGAGATTAGGAGTTTGAGCTTCGACAAAGGTTACGCCGCACGGCGGAGTGCAGTCGATGTGGATATCCGGAGAGAGGGGGTGGCAGAGGCGGCCCGAGAGGGGGATAGAAGAGGGAGAGAGCTTTAGAGAGAGAAGATTTGAGGGTGGGGATGGGATTGCAGTGAGGTGGGGGAGGGGGGAAGTAGAGGATGAGGGTGCTGTAAATTGGGGGGGCCATTTGATCAAGGAAAGAGAGGGGGTGGTGGGTGGGAGTTGGAGAAGAGGGAGGGATGGTTTCAGTGGAGATCATCTCCACCTCCATCTCCGTTCTGCTCCTCCTCCTCTTTTTTTCAGCTTTTGGGATCCCCATCAATCTCTTTCTTCTTCCATGAAAACCACAATGTATATTTTGTTTTCTCTCTTAAAAACAGGCCGCGTTTTGTTGGGAAGAGGTGGTCGTCCAGCAGTCTAGGCACAAACCTCAATTAATGGTATTGGAGGAGACTTCCAAAAATTGTTCATTGATAAGCGGCTACAAGAGCCACCTGACTGACCATTCTCGTAAAATGAAATTAGATGGTGCGCAATTGTTTTAAACAAAACTTATACTTTAAATAATATATGCATATATGAGTAATGATCCTAGTGGACTTTCTGCCATTTATGTATGGAGGATATCAAAAGATCACCATTAAATTTGGCTTATCAAATGGGTATAGGACTTGACTGTTTTAGAGATCCGTGTCAAATTTAATGACGATTTTTTGGAATCTTAAATAAAGAGGATTATATATATATATATATATATGGATAATCTAAACTCTACAACCTTCAAATTACAAAAGTTAAAGATAGAGTTGTGAATGATGGATTTCTTAATTTTGTAGTTTATTTTTTCAAAAAAGTTGATTTTTTTTGTGATATATTCATCATTAAGTAAAAATAATTGTGTAAATATTACTACAGGACAAAAGGTGCTTTTGTCATCTCTATGAAGGGTAAAGTTGAAATTTTCACTAAAAGACAAAGACACTTTATCGATAAAATTTCATAATACTAACTTCTCAAAACACTAACTTTCAAAATGTTATTTGTACTTTTCTAAAAATTTCAAATTTGACATAACTTAATAGTTAAATTACTTGTTAAAACAATTTTTAAAACAAAAAGTTAATCATCTTTTTTATATATACACTCATCACAACCCCTTCTTAAGTTTAACTTTTGTATTTTGAGGGGTTGTTAACCA